AAGAGGGAGAGAAGGAGCAGGGGGTGTGGCTTGTTGCATGTGCTCGCCCCCTGGGCTCTTTACTGCCGGAGCTCCACTCCTGTGCGCTCCTGCAGGAAATGACCCCTGGCGTGGACTCTGATCTGGGAGAACCGGGTTTGATTCCCCACTCCTCCACTCGCAGCTGCTGGATGACCTTGGGCAAGCCGTAGTTCTGATAAGAGCTGTTCTTGAAAAAAGAGCAGTTTCTGTCAGAGCTCTCTCAGCCCCACCTACCTCACGGGGTGTCTGTTGTGGGGAGGGGAAGGAGATTGTAAGCCGCTCTGAGACTCCTTCGGGTAGTGAAGGGCGGGGTATAAATCCAATCTCTTCTTCTCTTCTTCTTCCCCCCATGACTGAATGCCAGCACTGCCATCTTGTTTTTTAAAAACATCTTTGGATGCTTATTTAAATAATTAATTAATTAAGTTTATATCCCGCCCTCCCCGCCAAGGCAGGCTCAGGGCGGCTTACATTAAAGAGTTAAAACACATTAGAACAGAAATTATAAACATCATAAAAGATCATATACTACAATGCCTTGAATGTTTTTAATACTGAATTTTTGTGGTTTTATAACGCACTGAATTAATCTGTTGTAAACCGCCCTGAGCCCTGCGTAAGCGGGGAAGGGCGGTCAAGAGATCTAACAAATAAGTAAATAATGAAATAAATGAGACCTTTTGGGCCATCAGGGTCAGTATTGTTCACTCAGACTGGCAGCAGCTCTCCAAGATCTCAGGCAGAGGTCTTTCGTGCCACCTGCTGCCTGGTCCCTTAAACCGGAGATACCGGGGATTGAACCTGGGACCTCCTGCACGCAAAGCAGATGCTTTACCACTGAGCCACAGCTACTTCCCTTCTGGATACTTGAGATTCTAACTCAGGGGTGTCAAACATGCGGCCTGGGGGCCGGATTAGGCCCTCGGAGGGCTTCCATCAGGCCCGCAGGCAATGTTCCCTCTAAGCTGTGGAGTCATGTGAGCAAAAATTCTACTTTGTGAGCTACTGGCATTAAAGTTGTGAGCGAGCCATTTGCCTACTGCATTAAATGGGTTTGCTCTGGAGCCATCCTTCCTGAGCTAAGACAAAAATGTGTGAGCTGGAGGCTAAAAACCTGTGAGCTAGCTCACACTAACTCATCTTAGAGGGAACAGTGACCGCAGGGGAACTGGCCACCTCCTCCTGCATCATAGCTTGCTTCACCAGACTCTCTTAATCACTCAGCCATTTCATGTTTTCACCTGGGTCCCAGACTCAGAACTCTGAGCATGAGATTTCTGTGGGGAATATCGATAAATCAAAAGTAGGTTTGCAGCTTACAGAGTGACGTTTTAAGCATGTTTTTATTTTAAGTAAAAAAAATATCTTTAGGTTTGTGTGTTTATCTCTGCTACCTGGCGTTACATTCTACGACACACATGGCCCGGCCCAACAAGGTCTCATTTATGACAGATCCGGCCCTCATAACAGATGAGTTCGACACCCCTGCTCAAACTGGAGATGTCAGGGACTGAGCCTTTTGCAGGCCAAACAGCTGCTCTGCCATCAAACCGCCTGCCCCTCGGTCATCCTCAACCAACCAAAACGCACAAAAGCCTCTTTGTCTTACTGTGCCGTAAACGGTTGATTATGCTCTACATGTACGGAGACAAGTAATCCGTTTTGGGAAATGCATCGAGACAAAAAAACCCCGGTCCTCGAGGAGGGGGCTTTGAAAGGAAGGCTCGGAGCTCCTCTCCAAAAGGAAAATTATAAAATGTATTATTAAACCAGCAGCTTTATTATTAATCATTGTTAAACAGCACTCTGCGGGCACAGCCTTAAGTGTTTACTAAAGAGCGTGCGCTTAAAAAAATTAATCCTTTCTAATTGGCTTAATTAAAGATATAAGCACAGTATGACTTCATCAAGTCGAGGCTGAGGGGGGCTTGACATTTGCAGCTCCCTACGTTAATTAGTACCGGCTTCGCCGTAGCTCCAGACACACAATAGTCACCCTTCGAGATCGGGCCTCTCAGCTGCCTCCCCCATTTATCTGGGGCCAAATAGGACAAGTAGGGGCCGCGGTGGCTCAGAGGCTAAGATGCTGAGACGCAGACCGGAAGGTCGGTAGCTTGGCAGTTCGAGACCCGAGTGCTGCGTGACGGAGTGAGCTCCCGTCTCTGGTCCCAGCTCCTGCCAACCTAGCAGTTCGAAAGCAAGAAACTGCAAGCAGATAAATAGGTACCGCTTTGGTGGGAAGGTAACAGCGTTCCGTGAGCCTCAGCATTTAGTCATGCTGGCCACATGACTACGGAAAAAGTCTTCGGACAGCGCTGGCTCTTCAGCTTGGAAACGGAGATGAGTACTGCCCCCTAGAGTCGGATTAGACTAGCTTTCGAGCAAGGGCATTGACTGCTACTGGGCCTTCCAAGGCTCTCATTTCCTTACCTCCACTTGCTGGATGGCATCTTCTGTGTCTCCAACCTCAGACGTAGAAATTGACGGGTAATTGGAGTCTGATTCAAGGCTGCTTTGGTTAGATGGGTTTCTTCTGTGCCCTGGGGTTTGCTATTCAAAAGAGAGAGAGAGAGAAAGATAGATTTTTGTTGGGACCAGGTGATGTAACACAGATTGGTTTTTTCGGAAGAATCCCGGTGGGTTCACACACAGCAAAAAGTTGTTTTATTGGAATGCGTAGCCGAAGTGTTTTTATTTTATTGGAATGGGCAGCTGTTGTGTCAGTACAGGACAAATTCTGCAGCCACACAGCAAAAGATGGAGACGAATGCAATGCCCTTATTCTCCAAATTCAGTTCTCTCAGGACTCTTGAGCTCTCTGTTGGGGGTACCAGTTTGGTGTAGGGTTAAGTGTGCGGACTCTAATCTGGGAGAACCGGGTTTGATTCCCCACTCCTCCACTTGCAGTTGCTGGTGTGACCTTGGGTCAGTCAAAAGTTCTCTCAGAGCTGTTCTCTCAAGAGCAGTTCTGGAAAGAGCTCTCTCAGCCCTACCTACCTCACAGGGTGAATGTTGTGGGGAGGGGAAGGAGTTTGTAAGCCGCTCTGAGACTCTGAGTGAAGGGCAGGGTACAAATCCAATCTCTTGTCTTCTCTTCTTCTACCCATTGAGATTCCAGCTCTTATGGAGGCAAAATAACTTGTGCAAATTAAGGAGGTGGTGGCGGCTACAAGCATGGACAGCTTCAAGAGGGAATTGGATAAACATATGGAGCAGAGGCCCATCAGTGGCTATTAGCCACAAGGTATAGATAGGAACTCTCGGTCTGAGGCAAGGGATGCTCTGTATTCGTGGTGCTTGGGGGGACAGTGGGAGGGCTTCTGGTGTCCTGACCCCACTGCTGGACTTCCTGATAGCCCCTGGTATTTTGTCCACTGTGTGACACAGAGTATTGGACTGGATGGGCCATTGGCCTGATCCAACATTGGCTTCTCTTATGTTCTTAAGGAAGAAACACCACCATTTTTGTTAGCTGGCTCTAATTTCTACAGCTGCCAAACAATGCATGATTTTACTAGGAGAACTGGGTCCAAAGGCACATGAGACTTGACATTTAGTAACCTTTTTTTTGCATGGTTTCTTTGGGAAAAGCCATTCTCTTTTGGTCCTTGCTTGACTCAGGAGGTTGGCGAAATGTTTTAAAAACCACACTATGAGTTTCAAGGTTGGGACACGTGTAACAATGTGAGCTGCCCTTAAAGACTCTGCAGTGTTGCAGACACAGTGTGTTTATTCAGAATATTTCTGTGCTGCCTCTTCAGAGTCCGGCGGCTTACGATTCAAAATACAAACAGCATAAGAATACAAATGGCATAAAACCATCCATAAAGCAGAAGAAGACCATTAAAAAGCTGGTAAGATAGAACTCCTAATTAGAAGCCGAAGTAAAAAGCTGCATTTTAACCTGATGCCTAAAAGAAAGTAAAACAGGTGCCAGGTGAGCCTCGAGGGCATTCCAAAGGCAAGGTGCCACCACAGAAAATGCCCTGTCTCTAGGGTTGCCAGTTCTGGGTTGGGAAATACCTGGAGATTTTGGGGATGGATCCTGGGGAGGGCACGGTTTGTGAGGGGAGGGGTTGCAGCAGGGTATCATGCCCCCGGAGTCCACCCTCCAAAGCAGCCACTTTCTCCAGGTTGAAAGGAAACAAACAACCAATGCTCCCTCTAAGCTGTGAGTCTTGTGAGCAAAAATTCCAATTTGTGAGCTACTGGCATTGAAGTTGTGAGCAAGAGATTTGGCTACTGCATAAATCAGTTTGCTCTGGAGCCATCCTTCCTGAGCTAAGACGAAAATGTGTGAGCCGGAGGCTAAAAAACTGTGAGCTAGCTCACACTAACTCAGCTTAGAGGGAACACTGCAAACAACCGTGATGTATTGTGCCCCAAAAAAGTCTTCGCAGACTAAAAAATTATTTTCCCAATGTTCAGTTGACTTGAAGCAATCCAAACGCCATCAACACCAACGGACCGTGCATATTATCTCTTGTTTCGTGTACGACTTCATTAAAGTGGGTAGCGTTGAAATACCTATATAATATTAATCCATTTGGGCAGACACTCAAGCCATCTCTCCTGGTAACACTCATCAAATCCATTAGTGGATGGGAGACCACCAAGGAAGTTCAGTGTTCAATATGCATGGTTCGTTGGTGTTGATGGCGTTTGGATTGCTTCAAGTCAACTGAACATTGGAAAAAGAATTTTCTAGTCTGTGCTGGAGAAGACTCTTGTCCCTTGGACTGCAAGGAGATCAAATCAGTCAATCCTAAAAGAAATCAACCCTGACTGTTCCCTGGAAGGCCAGATGGTGAAACTGAAGCTCAAATACTTTGGCCACCAAAGGAGAAGGGAGCACTCACTGGAGAAGACCCTGATGCTGGTAAAGATTGAAGGTCAAAGAAGACGGGGACGGCAAAGGAGGAGATGGGTAGACAGTGTCATAGATGCAACGAACATGAAGTTGAGCCAACTTCAGAGGACGGCGGAAGACAGGAAGGCCTGGCAAGATCTTGTCCATGGGGTCGCGAAGAGTCGGACTCGACTGTGCGACTGAACAAGTCTGTGAAGACTTCTTTTTGGCACAATACATCACGGTTGTTTGTTTCCTTTCTACCTCCACCATGTGATCGCTCTCTTTGGTTTGCACTTTCTCCAGGTTGTCTGGAGATCAGTCCCAATAGTAGGAGATCTCCAGGGGCTCCCTGGAGGTTAGCAACCCTACTTGTCACCCTATCTGTACTGAAGAACGTGGGCTACCCGTTTCCTCTCAAGGGGCAGCCTCTGAGACCCCTTTCATAATTATGGCACCAGCCTGTTCTGGACAGGGTTACGCATGCCTTGAAAGAAGCAAGTCTACGGATTCATTGCTAGGGAGAAATCAAGGCGCTGGCTATTAGCTTTTAAAGCATGGAGACATTGGGAATCAAGATATGGGAAAGATCATCTACTCCCTTCTACGCCTACCAATCGGTTAAGCTCCTCTGGAGAGTCATGTGCCCCAACCTTCACAGACAAGGGGGGGGGGGCCTGGCTGCTAGGGACAGGGCCTTCTCCGTGTTGGCTTCTTTGCAGATGTCTCTCTCCAAAGAGTGGTCCCTCAGTCTGAAGCAACGACTAAAAATATTTCTCCTAGGCTTTTAGTTGATCCCCCCCCCCCTTTTCAGGGGGTTTGTTGGTTTTTCTGCTTCCTGTCATCGTGCTGGTGTTACGGCTGTCGTTCGCGGTTAATTGCTATTACGTATTTATGGCTTGTTATTTTATTTTCATGTGTCTTTACTGACACCCTCCTCAGGAGATGCCTTAGGATGCTTAGAAATTGCTTAAATTTGGAATGATCAATTGCGACCTTTTCCGTTATGCATGCATTCGTTATGAGAATATTCGTCTTGGCTATTTTCTTGGCCAGTTCCCCCATTTTGTTTGTTTCTTTTACAGCGTTTGTAAGATATATAAGAGTTTGATGTGAAAACAATTAAGGGTTTTACTGTCAAAGGATTTTTTCCCCGCTCGGGAGAGGGACACCGTAATTTCAGCTTGAGAAATCCCAGAAATCACCTCAACTCCCCAGGCATCCAGGGAGGGAAGTCTTACCAAAATGCCTCTCTTCTCTGTCTCTATCTTGATCTGGCTTGTATGTTTTGTGGGCTTATTAGTAAGACTGTGGACTCAGTGGAAGAGCATCTGCTTTGCAGGCAGGAAGTCCTAGGTTCAGTCCCTGGCATCTCCAGTTAAAACAGCCCAGGAAGAAGAAGAAGAAGAAGAGGAGGAGGAGGAGGAGGAGGAGGAGAGGAGGAGAAGAAGAGGAGGAGAAGAAGAGGAGGAGGAGGTTGGATTTATACCCTGCCCTTCACTAAGAACATTTTACAATCTCCTTTCTCTTCCCATCCCCTCCCCACAACAGTCACCCTGTAAGGTAGGTGGGGCTGAGAGAGCTCTTTTGAGGACTGCTCTTGAGAGAACAGCTCTGAGAGAAGTTGTGACTGACCCACTGCTACAAAAAGAGCCCGCCTCGTCTTGGCTATTTTCTTGGCCAGTTCCCCCATTTTGTTTGTTTCTTTTACAGCGTTTGCAGTATATATAAGATTTTGATGTGAAAACAATTAAGGGTTTTACTGTCAAAGGATTTTTTTTTCCGCTTGGGAGAGGGACACCGTAATTTCAGCTTGAGAAATCCCAGAAATCACCTCAACTCCCCAGGCATCCAGGGAGGGAAGTCTTACCAAAATGCCTCTCTTCTCTGTCTCTATCTTGATCTGGCTTGTATGTTTTGTGGGCTTATTAGTAAGACTGTGGACTCAGTGGAAGAGCATCTGCTTTGCAGGCAGGAAGTCCTAGGTTCAGTCCCTGGCATCTCCAGTTAAAACAGCCCAGGAAGAAGAAGAAGAGGAGGAGGAGGAGGAGGAGAAGAAGAGGAGGAGGAGGAGAAGAGGAGGAGGTTGGATTTATACCCCGCCCTTCACTAAGAACAGTTTACAATCTCCTTTGTCTTCCCATCCCCTCCCCACAACAGTCACCCTGTAAGGTAGGTGGGGCTGAGAGAGCTCTTTTGAGGACTGCTCTTGAGAGAACAGCTCTGAGAGAAGTTGTGACTGACCCAAGGTCACACCGGCAGCTGAACGTGGAGGAGTGGGGAATCAAACCTGGTTCTCCCAGATTAGAGTCCGCGCTCTTAACCACTACACTAAACACTGAACTGACAGCCCACGCTTTCCCCTTACCTTTACGATCGTCATCTCGTCCCGCAAATTGTCGTATCTCTGCTCTAGCCGCGAATATTCCTTCACAAGGTTCTGGTACCGGAATCTCTCCTCTTCTAGCTCTTTCTTCATCAAAGCATTTTCTTCAGCAGCATTTTGTGCAAATTCGTCTTTTTTTAAAAAAAGTGAAAGACAAACATGTTTGAACTCCACATGAACCAAAGCAGCCACAACCCTTAAGCGGAGACCAGAAGAGATCAGTTGTGATCTGTACAAAGAACTGCAGTCACCTCCAAGTTGGAGCTAGGGAGGCACTGGTTGTCGTCAGAACAAAACTGGAGAACTCAGAGACCAATAAGGTTTTCCAGGGTATAAGCTTCTGTGAATCAAAGCTCACTTCGTCAGATACAAGAATGATGACCCATCAGCCCTTGTATCCAAGTCAGAAGGTGGGAGGGGGTGCTACCACGATGGGCCAGTTGGAGTCAGGATGCAGATGTACAATGCAAAATGTAATCAGCTGAGAGATACACATATGGGTAGGAAATTTTTTAAAAAATAAAGCATTTGTAGTGAGACAAGAATCCCCCCCCCTTTCCTGGTAGAACCCTTGTCACAAACTTGCTAATGAAACCATAGTTCTGCAATCTCACATTGTAATCTCCCTTTGAAGATTTTCTGCAGGCGAACGACCACTCTTAGGACACCACTGAAACGTCCGGGAAGATCTGGTGGACAACACTGGTTGGTTTTGTATCTCTCTAGGCTGAAATCAGTGGTGGAGGCAGTAGTGATTACACAACAGTAGGACAGCTGGATATGCGTCCCGTAGCACCCCGAAAATTTTGTTGGTATTCCTGGACTCATAATCTAGCTGTTCCACTGCTACCCTCTGAAAAAACAACAGGAGCATTGGGGGGGACGACACACACAACAACTAACAAACAAACAGACCACAACCAATGCTCCCTCTAAGCCGTGGAGTCTTGTGAGCAAAAATTCTACTCTGTGAGCTCCTGGCATTAAAATTGTGAGCGAGCAATTTGGCTACTGCATAAATTAGCTTGCTCTGGAGCCCTCTTTCCTGAGCGAAGACAAAAAGGTGTGAGCCAGAGGCTACGAAACTGTGAGCTAGCTCACACTAACTCAGCTTAGAGGGAACACTGACCACAACTAGACCTCAGTAACGCTAACCTTCTCCTCCAATAACGGTCACAAGAACCGAGCCTCTCCTTTCTAGAGAGCCCCCCGGAATAGGCCTTAGAGTAACAGTACAGTTGGGTCTTCTACTCTCTTATTCTAATCCTCGCCACATTTATTCTGAAATAAATCCCATTGCTTTTTTGTGGAACTTACTTCCAAATGTATGTCTCTGCAGACTCCAGCTATGGACCATCAAAAAATTAAACAAGCTCAAACTACTAAACAGGCTATCGTACTTCGGTCACATTATGAGGAGACAAGAATCACTGGAAAAGGCAATTATGCTAGAAAAAGGTTGAAGGCAGCAGGAAAAGACGAAGACACAACAGGTTTTGGAATAAGGAGCCACATCGAACACCGAGGGGTGTCCCTGGGCCCTGGCCTACCACCTACAGCCTGGGCCCGCCGCACAAATAAGTCGAACAAACCGAGCTGGTGACAATACCATCATGATTGTACCGTCACCTTAAGTAGTATTACTAACTTGAAACCTTCGCTCTCACACTTTATTACACCATGTTCCATGAGAGCCAGTTTGGTGTAGTGGTTAAGTGTGTGGACTCTAATCTGGGAGAACCGGGTTTGATTCCCCACTCCTCCACTTGCACCCGCTGGATGACCTTGGGCAAGCCATAGTTCTGGCACAGCTGTTCTTGAGAAAGAGCCGTTTCTGTCAGAGCTCTCTCAGCCCCACCTACCTCACAGGGTGTCTGTTGTGGGGAGGGAAAGGGGAAGGAGTTCGTAAGCCACTCTGAGACACCTTCGGGTAGTGAAGGGCGGGGCATAAATCCAATCTCTTCTCCTCCTCCCAGGTCCCCATCCTTTTTTCCTTAAAGTAAAGGTAAAGGTTCCCTTGCTCGAAAGTCAGTTGAGTCCGAATCTAGGGTTGTGGTGCTCATCTCCGTTTCAAAGCCGAAGAGCCAGCGCTGTCCGAAGACGTTTCCATGGTCATGTGGCCGGCATGACTAAACACCAAGGTGCACGGAATGCTGTTACTTTCCCACTGAAGTGGTACCTATTTATCTACTTGCAATTTCTTGCTTTCGAACTGCTAGGTTGGCAGGAGCTGGAACTAGAGACAGGAGCTCACCCCATCTTGCGGCGCACTCGGGTCTTGAACTGCTGAACTACTGACCTTCCACAGCCTGCAGTTCAGCGTCTTAACCACTTGAGCCACCGCAGCTCTTCACTTTAGGATCATTTTTAATGAAATATTACGTCATTTCATGTTTATGTTACTTATGACTGGTTTTAATTGTATTTATATGGAATTTTACGTGAGCTGCCCTGAGCCTGCCTTGGCAGGGAGGGGGGGCTATAAACTGAATTAACAACAACAACATGAGATGGATTGATTCAAACAAGGAAGACATGGCCTCAGTTTGCAAGACCTGAATAAGGCTGTTAAGGATAGCATGTTTTAAAGGTTTCCCTTGCTTGAAAGCCAGTCGAATCCGACTCTAGGGGGCGGTGCTCATCTCCATTTCCAAGCCGAAGAGCCAGCGCTGTCCGAAGACGTTTCCATGGTCATGTGGCCGGCACGACTAAACGACGAGGTGCACGGAACACTGTTAGCTTTCCATCGAAATGGTACCTATTTATCTACTTGCAATTGATTGCTTTCGGACTGCTAGGTTTGCAGGAGCTGGGGCCAGAGATGGGAGCTCACTCCGTCATGCGGCACTCGGGTCTCGAATTGCTGAACGACAGACCTTCCAGTCTGCAGCTCAGCGTCTTAACCACTTGAGCCATCACGGCATATAGGGTTGCCAACCCCCCCGGTTTGCCAGGGGTCCCCCGTTTTGGGGGGTTCTACCCGCCGCCGGGCAGATGGTCAGCGGGGGAAGCCCCACCCCCAACACCCACAGCCACCCCTCTCCCTTCTTTCTTGAGAACCCGCGTTTCCTCCCAAGCCTGATCTCCATTTGAGATCAGGCTTGCAGGGAAATGCCAGCTCAGGCACTTAAAAGGGAAATGCCAGCTCCGGCACTTAAAAGGGAAATGCTGGCTCTTTGGTCTTAAAGGGCGCCGGCTCCTTTAAGTGCAGGAAACTGGCGTTTCTGGAGATTGGGCGGGGGGCAGGGTGGCGGACATCCCCAACGTGATGTCGGTGATGCCCCTCCCCTCCAGGAACGCCCCCAAAGTCCCCCACTGGGGGCGGAAGATGAACTTGGCAACCCTAACGGCATAGGATGTTTTAAAGGTCATTAAATCATAGGGTTGCCAGAGGTCCCAGAGCCACTTGACGGCCGTTTACACACACACACACGCAACGACCGCAGCTACCATTTCTCAAGCTGGGAACCAACATGGTTTGTTAGAGCCACTGCTTCTGATGGGGTTCAAATCTCCATGTCTTCTGCCCTGTTATGGTTTCTGGCTGAGCAAACTTTGCAGATTTCTGAAGCAATTCTACACTCGCTTGTCCACAGCCCATACCACAATTGTTACCCAGTCCCAGCGGTGTTTCTTTAGGTAAGAGACAGGAAACGAATACTAGGCCAAATCTATACAGAAGCAATACTGTACGGCTGAGGATACAGATGACCCAAGAGCTTGCAGTTACAAAAGCAGTAATTCTCCTTTAAGAATACACAGGACCTATTCAAGCCTCAACCAACATGGTGAGAAGAAGACTGAACATCCTCAAGCAATTGTATTCAACTGAAAGTCTTTTCCACTGTGAATTAATAGAAGAGAGCATAGCTTTTCAGGTACACACACAAAGGTAAAAGCACAGAGAAAATATATTTGAAAGCAGCAGTAAGTATCTGAGCTGCCTCCCTTTGTCTAAATGGCAGCTGACGATTCTTCGTCAGCACCTTTAAAAAAAATAATCTGGTAGCTTTTTACACAACTATGGAGCTTTGTGCTGGTCACCTATTTTTAAAAAAGCTTTTCCCTGCTAGCCTTATAGCATCTAGTACTTGCAATAACCACTGTCCAACAATACACTTGAATTTCAAAGCATTCATTTTTCCTTATTTGAATTTCAGGGCAAAGACCGACGGAATATTAGAAAAGATTGCATTATTTGCATTAGTTATTGGCTGCTACTTCCAAGATTTTGTAAAACAGGAAAAGACAAAAGTTGAACAACCCCCGTCATTTTTCTGTCCTTGAGCAAAATCCTGGAAAACAATGCAAAAAAACAGTGGTTGAAGCTCTCTATTGGCCAGTGACTATGTCCTTTATTTATTTACCTATTTATATCTTGCTGTTCTATGTCGAGGGGGACTCAAAGCAGATTACAACGTTGTTCTCCTCTTCTCCGTTTTATCATCGCAGCAACCATCCTGTGATGTTGGTTAGGCTGAGAGCGGGTGACTGGCCCAAGGCCATCAAGCGAGCTTCCACAGCAGAGCCGGGATTCAAACGGAGGTCTGCCAGGTCCTAGTCCTACAAACTAACCACTAGACCATGTTGGCTCTCTGGTCAACATGTTCTGCCTCAGAACTTCACAGTAATGGTTCAACTGGTTATAAAATGTGTGTGTGAGAGTGTGTGTGTGGGTGTGGGTGTGCCCCTCACACACAATTCAGAGCAACA